GTGTAATCATTCCGCATGTCTCCGACTCAAAATCATTCTGAATCAGTCAGAATGATAACTCGATACTCTGATTACTCTCATACTCTGATAGGGAGCGTAGGATAGCCGGGGGGGGGGATATAATCCTTCCCCTTATTACGGCTGGGGATGGCTTGTATGAATCGACAGCCCGTAGCCAGTGGGAGTTCGGGGGTGTCGAACGAACCCCCCCCGAGGGCCCTCGTCCCCAAGCCAAAATTATATGATTTTTAAATTTGCAGAAAATTTCACTACTCAGGTCGCTCCATAGTGTAATAATTGCCAAAATCTCCATCGCGCGGAGGCGTGAACAGTGAACACCCCCTCCCACACCCTCGGCCCGCCGCTCGGTCGCTGCTGCCCCCGGCCTGGTCGTTCGGCTCCCTCGCCTGTCGTTCTGCGCGCGCGCACAGGGCGTGTACAGGGGGGTTCATGCAGGGGTGCCGAGACTCCCCTTGCTCGCGCAGAAAACCGCATAACTGAGGGTGTAATTTTAAAATTTGTGGGGGGCCCCCCCAGACCCCATCCGCGTGCTCGCAACTATGGGTTACGGTTGATTCCGCCTGTCACAGAATCCTGTACCGCCCCTGCGAGCAAATTGCCAACATTGAAAAAACGAACCACCCCTCCCAATAGAAAGCGGCACGGCCTGTAACATATCGCCCTCTACTTTTCAGAGGAAAAGGGGGAAAATCATCTTTAACAGACATAAATATCTGAACATATATCTAACAAATCCGTCATCAGCCTATTATACCTCCTAAGGTTTAATTACACAAATGGAAAGTGACATCTACTGTAAAAGTCTGTAACTCGTTCCAAGAATGACGTTTTACTGGAAACTCGGGCGGTTAATCATTGACGTTACATTAAGATCCCATCACTTTTTCAAAACCCCAAATCACGTCTTATCACTGCTCACGAAAAGTTAAAATCCCTGCTTTCTCAAAATTAAATAGAATGAGGTACTCTATGAGACATATTGAGAATTTGGATATAATATCACGATGAATGAAATGGGGAAAATAAATTTCATCACATTTTTTTGGGGGGGGATGGAGGGTGCGTAGACCCGACAGGAAGTATATCCGATTTGTCAAAGGGTTGAAAATATGCCTTTTGTTCACATCTGTTGTTCTTTCTCATACTTTGTTGTACAGTTTTAGCGTTCCAAAGCTGACCGATCTCATAAAATATATTTATGAAATTTTCAGGGGAGATGATCCAGTGTTGATTCGTGGAGATGGGTTGCGTGTTTATTAAACCTCTGGAGCCAAACGCAAAAAATAACCTAGAATTCAGTTTCACTATTTTTAATTCCTCAAAAACGACCAATCTTGAAGGTTCTAAATTGCTCAAAACTCAGAGCTTCGGGGGCCCGCCCTGGACCCCAGGCAAAGGGCTCTGCCCCTGCACCCTCGCCAGGGGCCCTAGAGCGGTCCCCAGCTATTAGCGTGACCCACCCCGTTAATGATATCGCGCAAGGCGCTCAGTGTGCGGCTTCACCGCGCCGCACACATTCTTTCTATATTTTGTGCTGGAACTAACAGCCGAAATCATACGCCCTCACAAGCATTGAGGACCTGCAGTGTCTATGCCATATACTCTGAATAGAGAAGTCTTAACTCATATATATGTTTCTATGGTGCAACACATATGAAATAGGTACAGCTATATATATTCATTATATATATATATATTATATATATATATATTTATGATAGTGTATCGACAATATATTGTCGACAGTGATAGATGAGAACCATAGCTAGAAATCATCCATCAATGTGGCATCTCGGTTCGACGGTAGTGCTAGTGCCGCTAGGCTCGTTCCCTGCATACAGACAGTGTACCAGTCTAGGTGTACCGCATGCACGTGGATTTCACGAGTGATTTTATTCGTTCCTGATATCATACACCACGTGTATATAGGATATTTATGGGGATCACGTTTGGTTATTGCTTTGCTTTGCGTTTGCGCCAAAACTAGTATTTAAAAGCTGCGTCGCTTACGTATGCTGTACTGGAAGATGTGATAACGTAGCCCTACAGACGGGGCTTTGCGCGTGCCAATGTTAGCATTGGATCTAGTAGCTCTACCAGTGCAGCACCTAATTCGCTCTTGCTACGGGGCTATACTGCAGCATATGACAATAAACTAACTAATTGAGACCATTACCGACTGGGAAATTGCATCTTTTTTTACCTAGGAAACTGGGAATAACCCCATCCACGGTTTCCCCTCGTATAGCTATATTCAGATTCCTCTCATGGAACCAACTCACGTAGTCTGTGAAACTGCAGATATTCTGTATGATTCTGGAAACCTTTATAGACACAACAATAACAATAACAGGCGCGTGAACTTTTTATACTTTTTTTAATGTGTTTATTCATTAAAATTATACTTGCCACACTACTGCGAAAAGCAGTGTTGACATGGCAAAATTCCTTCACTTGCGCTTTCAACAGTCATCTTTTCATTCGCGTCGACATTTTTATTCAATTAGTTGAGTTGTTTGTATGTACAGTTTTTTTCGTATGATGATGGGAGTTTCAAACACCCAAGACGACAGCAAAGTACTAACCTCCCAATGACACCAATAGTGAGTGAGAACAGTAAATGATACATAGGAATTCGTGCACACGTTCAAAGTGCACTGTGCACATGACCCAGAGGGTTCCGTGTGCTCACACCTAAACGCCAGAGGGTGCTATGCGACCCATATATGTCCAAATAATGTCAAACGCGTTTGCATAGGGATGGCAAGTCATTGTGGGGCCATTAAAGCGCAGGTTTACATAACATTCGAACACACGAGTTGAAATGCGTCACTGTCTACACACCTGCACACTGAGACTGACGCCACGCTATCTCATTTACCTTATCACATCCCATAGGAATATAAAACAATTTGCAAGCTTAAACTATAAAACATAAAAGACCAGTTCGCGGCAACACTCGTTGATAAGAGCTTTACCCTTACAACGGTAGTAGGTTCACAAAAAATGCTGCCAGTCGCATATATAGTCATTTATGTCACTGCGCTTACACATGAAAAACAATCCATTCCCTTTAACAGCCAACTTTAGTACTAAATAACTAATAAACCAATAAGAGAATTCTTATCTAAGTACATATTAAACATCATCGTACATAATAGTAAAACAAAACTTCCATCAACAGGCACTTGTCAACAATATGTCTATATACAGTTACTTTACACTGCATGAAGAAAAATAGGCACCAAAATTTTAACCACAATTATCAATATACATGCACAAGAGTCCCACGTGGATGATAAGTGAGCGAGACAAATTCTTAAAACTACGGAAATTCCTGTTAGGTCAGGGTAAACCAATAACACAGATTTTATGAACTAGTGAGTTAGACTAGGTTGTTGCACGGATAATTACCAACCGTTTGTGACTTGTACATCCAATGGTATTAATCGAGGCCATGCAGCTAGTGGTGGTGGTGCTAAGAAATTTACTGTGATCGACAACACGCTACAAAACGAATACTATTACTTACCCATTAAATGGATTGACGCCACACACTACCGACCAACAATATACACATGCTCGCTCACAAGAACGGAATTTATGCATAACGGGTTCAAGAACAAACCATCCGATCATGCATTCTGCTCATTGCACTGGCGTAAGAAGACAAGCCAAAATAGGACCAAATAAAACTGAAATGACGCATACATGATTCATGTTGATGCAAAGATGCAACTTAAAAAAATATTGCATTACGACTTTGGGTTGTAGTTGTCACAAAAACATTCAAATTCAATATTAAGGGCGAGTTTTCATTAAGAAAATTACTGCACACGTCTTAATGCTTACTGGTGGGTTTATGACAATTAATGCACACCAAGGTTACTCTTAGCATTACAATATAGTGACTGAAGTAGGAAAATGAAAGCTGCAACGTTCACACATGCAGAGACGAATTCGATACACAGTGAGTAGCTTGAATTTGTTGCGTCATAGTGTTGCCACATCAAAACGATACCTACGGCTTCTGTTTATCTAAAGCCCGGCGCACACGTGGCGATTTTTATCGCTATTACTAGCGATAAAAATCGCCACGTGTGCGCCGGGCTTAAGAAATACCTAATTCAGCCTTAGCCGAATCCTATCATAGCTGCAAATTAGAGTGAAGCTGCGTGGGAGAACCTATGAAAACAGGGCCCAAAATTTTATGCTAAATTTCTTCCAACGGGTTTCACAGATTTTCGCATATATTGCCTTTTTCTAAAACATGCCTTAAAGCGACATATGTAGTATTAAATCGTCTGCATGCAAAAGCCCAAGATAGCAGCGTGTGTTCATCAGTTTTAAATTGTTACATTGTTACCCCCCTCCCAATTTTCTCAACGAATTTAGACGTTTCACAAAATCGACCCCTGGGACTGTCAAATCCGCGGATCCGCGGAAGAATCTCATCCATGTTTAATAGAAGATCAACGATCAGAATTCATGGGGTAGAAAATTATGAAACACTGCTGTTTTCATAGAACTGGTTAAGAAACTCCTCCTTTTATGTGTTACCTACGTTGGTATATGTTTGATTGATATATGAAAATATACTTTCATTAAGCCATATATGATTTTTTCCCACATGCAGGCACTTAAACATTATTTTACACATGAAAAATTACCCTACACTATTTCTATAATTGATTATAATGCAAGATCATAGTAAAGAAAATTTGACTGAAGAATATTGGATGGCAAAATATGTAATTTCTTTGCAACATTGAAATGACAATATAAATTGCTATGAAATAATAATAGTTGGGAGTAACGGTACTAACACATAGTTACCAGTCAGCATTCTACAACAGAGAACCCAGTACAAGCTTATCAGTAATATATCTACATGATAAGCTGATGTAGTTAACGTGATTGACTCAGCAACTGTGATATACCTTCTTGAGATAGTGCAAAACAGATGCTCACCCATTGCAATGTTTTTGTATAAAATGGCCAGAAAGGTATAGAATGACGTGAATTCAAGGTCAGAAATTGTAACAAATTGATGAAAACATTAATGAACTTTCACTCGACAATAACTAGACTTCTCTGAAAATATTTCATAAAGAAAAGGCACGATATGATGGACTTCAACCTAATGAAAAAAAGTATTAACACGCTACCCTTATAACACGCCTTATTTTATAAATTATAAAAAACAGTTTGGTGCCAAAATTGTCTCGTACTTTTCGTATTTAATTTACCAATGACCACAATTTCTTTACAATAAATCAGACATAAACCTATGCTAAACTGATTTTACTATAGTATACACTAAGCCATGGCTAATATAAAGATATTTTTTCACTAAACAAGTTGCTAATCAATGCTTTAGATGATCTAGCTCCATGAACCTCTGTATAGAATTTTTAGACATAAGTTTTTGAATTCTACACTTGGGTTAATTTATGGCAACTAGTGTTTCAATCCTTTCGTAAACAAATTACAATATAAAATTAGCAGTTTTGATAAAACCATAAGTCAATGTAGGCCCTACAATAAACATTCAGTGTATGACACAGCATATTCAGATTTATAGTTATATTAATAGGACACTAATTAGTAATTATCATAACATACAATTCAATAAATGTTAAATTTTATGCCACATTATATAGTATTAATCGTACGCAGTTGGCTGCTATTATGCACATATCCAAGCATAACAGCAATAATAAGTGTAAAAAAAATTCTGCTGTCGCTGGCAGCCCAAACTAAAATTTTAAAATGTGTCTTTTTTCTAAGTCTTCCATCTCCTTCAGTACTTGTGCCACGTTATACCTAAGTTCGTGGAATTTTGACACGGGCACCTCGAAGTTAGCAATCCTGCCATTTGAAAGTGTTAGTTCCATGAGAATTGTTGGCTCCAGCACCCTGTTAAGTGAGTTAGTTGATATTGTCACATCACATCGCCACCGGTAGCGTTGCAAGGTGGAAAGCCGTGGTCTGGTCTGTAGCACTTTGCGGTCAATCTCTGCTCGTTGGTGTCCAAACACAACGCTGACAACCTGCTCAACATACGCCTGTGGTATCTTCAGTTGTAGCAAACTATCTTTAAACAATTCAGGTTTCAGTTGCGCTGATGGTATTCTAAATGCACTTGTCATAAGTAAGCGCGTCCCAGCATACAAGTCACTGAGTACGTCTTCGGACTTAGCGGCAGAACATTTGCAGGTAGCAATGAAGTCTTGAAATTCGTTTTCGGTCACGTTTTCTTCCAGTATTTCTTTCACGCATAACTGCAATAGTCTTCCGAATACACTTACATCTACAGTGTGTATGTTTTTAGAAAGATATAAGATCTGCGGTGGTATTTTTTGCCCAGAAAACATAGCTTTGCTGTGAGCTTCCGTGACATAGGCGGTGGGAATGGGCGCAGACATTTTGAAAACGCTTGACAGTCTCTCATCTTCCCGCAAGGCGTCGCTTCAACTGGAGTGGGCGTGGCAACCATAGAAATAATATACAGAGTCTGAGAACCAAAGATCCTATAGTGCCGTAGGATCGTGCCGTATTCACTATCGTGCCGTATTCACTCTACGATCTTTGCTGAGAACGTATATCATACCTTCGAGTAATCATTCCGAGTCTCCGACTCAAAATCATTCTGATCAGTCAGAATGATTACTCCAATAATGAATATCATACTCTGATAGGGGCGTAGATAGCGGGGGGGGATATATCCTTCCCCTTATTGAGGTGGATGCTTGTATAATCACAGTCCACGTAGAGCCGCTAGGGGAGTTCGGGTTCGAACGAACACCGCCCCCCGAGCCCCGTCCCCAAGCCGAAAAAGTGTATTGGAGTTTTTTAAAAAATTTGGCAAAGAAATTTCACCTCAGGTTCCTCCATTACGGTGTAATAATTGCATAAAGATCTCCATCGTGCGGGAGGTGAACAGTGAACACGCCCCCTCCACACCGGCTCCTGCCCGCCGCTCGCATCGGTTTGCTTGCCTCGCCTGGTCGCAAGTTGCTGCCCCGTCGGCCTGGGTCGCGGTTCGCGCCTCGAGCAGGGGCGTGTACAGGGGGGTTACCAATTCAGGAGTCGGACCCGGCCCCTTGCCGCCGCAGAAAAACGCATCGCTGAGGGGGGTGTAATTTTTTAAAAATTTTTGTGGGGAAGGGGCCCCGCCCAGAACCCCCATCCCGGTGCTCGCGGACTAATGGTACGGTTGATCCCGCCTGGTGACAAATCCTGTACACCCCCTAGAGGCCGACGAAATTGGCCCAACACTTGAAAAATCGCACCCCCACCCCCAAATGACGAAAGCTTGCTAGCGCGGCGCTGTAATCGATCACCCCTCTACTTTCAGAGGAAGGAAAATGGGGAAATTCTCAATGATTTTACAGACAAAAGAGGACTGAAAACAGTGCTTGATCTGACAAATCCGTTCATCGGCTATTCATGTACTCGCCTATGATTTAATTGCCACAGCAAATGGAAATGACATCTACTGTAAAATGTCTGATGACTCGTTCCAAGAAATGACAATATTTTACGCGCCTCGACCGGCGCGCGGCGTTAGATTGTTTGGACGCATTAATGCGTGCCATATGAGCACGAGTGTGTTTGTTCAAAATCGCGAGCCGCGCAAACATCACGTTTATCACTGCTCACCGAAGTTAAATCCTGCTTCGCGTCAAAAATAGAATGAATGAGGGTTAACTTATGGACAGACAGTATTTGGGAGAATTTTGATATTGAATCTCGACGGAGATTGAATGGGAAAATTAAATTTCACAATCACATTTTTTTTTGGGTGGGGATGGAGGGTGCTGAGAACGCGGGGCGGACAGGAGTATAATGCCCTGGGGTGTATAAGGTTGAAAAGTAGTTGCGAGCTTTTTGGTTGCAAAATCTGGTCTGTTCTTGCTCATACTTTTTGTGTACAGTTTTAGCGTTCGGCCGCGCGATCTCAGTAAAATATATTTTAATGAAAATTGTTCAGGGGGAGAGGATGAATTCCAGTCGTTGTAGTCGTGTTATGGGGAGGTGGGGTTTGCGTGTTTATTAAAGCCTGTCATCTGGGAGGCCAAAGCAAAGAAATAACGCCTAAATTGGGCAGCATTTCAGCAGTTTTGGTTGTAATTCCCGGCAGGGGGGTCCAATAAGAACGACCATCTGAACCGTTTCGTAAGAGTTTCTAAATGATCCAAGGAAGGCTTCCCGGGGGCTCCGCCCCTGGAGCGCCTAAGCGAAAGCTCTTGCCCCTGGCACCCCCCAGGCGGCCGCTCTAGAGGCGCCCGCCGTAGCTTTAGCTTGTGACCGCCGAGGGCACGGCGTTAAGGAGCGGTGTCGGGCGCAGAGGGCCCTCAGGGTGTGCGCATAGTGCAGCGCAGCATAACATTCTTCGTAATATTTGTCGTGCTGGAACTAACAGCGAAAATCAGAGCCGCGGTCGACAAGCGTGAGGACCTGCAGTCTGATGCGCACTAATACCTCTGATATAGAGACAGTCTACACTATTGATATATTTCAGGGTGGCTGTAACGACAGATGAATAGTATTGATGTACAGTATAATATATTATTATAGTTATATATTATATTACGAGTATACGTATAGTATTTTATACTCAGTTGATATGGACAATATATTGTCCGTACTAGTGATAAGATGAGCAACGCCATAGCTCAGAACATCCATCAATGGGGTGGCGGTAGTGCGGGTGCGTTCGAACGGTCCAGTGCTAGGTGCCTGGCCTAGGCGTCGGGTGTCCGGGGGGCTCATACCGACAGTGTACCGATCTTAGAGGGTGTAAGGGTGGCGCGAGAGGCGAGCGGTTGGGATTTGCACGAGTGATCTGTTTTTCGTTCCTGAGATCATACCAGCGCGGTCACGTGTGATGAGAGGATAGGTTTATGGGATCACGGGTTTGGTTTACGTTTGCTTTGGCTTTGCGTTTTGCGTCCAAAACTAGTATTTAAAAGCTGCGTCGGCTTACGGATGCTGCTCGTCTGGAAAGATGTGATAACGTATCCTAACAGGACGTGCTTTTGCGCCGTGGCCAATGTTAGGCATTGGATTAGTTAGCTCTAGCAGTGCAGCAACCTAAATTCGCTATCTTGCTACGGGGCTATAACTGCGCAGATACTACATAAACTAACTAATTGAGACCATTACCGGACTGGAAATTGCAGCTTTTGTTAACCCCGTAGGAAACTGGGAATAACCGCCAAGTCCACCGGGTTTCCACCTCGTATAGACTATTTCAGATCCTCTCAATGGAACCAAGCTCCCGTAGTCTGTGAAACTGCAGATAGCTTCTGTATGATTCTGAATACCGTCTTATAGACGCAGGCAAACAATAACAATAACAGGCGGCGAGTGAACTTTTTAACCTTTTTTAATAGTGCGTGTCTATTCATGTAAGAATTATACTGTGGGCCCACACTATGGGTTCGAAAAGCAGTGTTGACATGGCAGAAAATTCCTTCAACCGTTGCGCTTTCAAACGTCCATCTTTTCATTCGCGTCGACATCTTTTATCATTTAGATTGAAGTTGGTTGTATTACATTTTGTTATCTCGTAATGAGATGGCGAGGTTATGTCAAACACCGGCAAGACGACAGCAGGGGGGAAGGAGTGACTAACGGGGCTCCACAAGGGGGGGGGCGGCAGGGGGATGAGCAGCCCATAGTAGGTAAAAGTAAATGATACATAGAATTCGTGCACACGTTCCAAAGTCACTGCGAGCATGACTGCGTCAGAGGTTGTGCGTGTGCTCACATCCTAACAACGCCATGAGGTGCTAATGCACCGCATATATGTCGCAAATAACTGTCAAAATTCGCGTTTGCATAGGATTGGCAAGTCATTGATGGGCGTGGCCATTAAAGCGCGCCATGTTTAATAACATTGGCGTTCGAAAACACGGAAGTGAAATGCGTCAGCTGTTCTACACACACCTGCACACTGAGACTGACGCCACGCTATTCTTTTATAACCTTCATCACATACCGATAGGAATATGAAAAACAATTTGCAAGCTTAAGGACTATATAAAGGCGATGAGAGAGAGGCCAGTTGCGCGGCAAACACTCGTTGATAAGAGCTTTACTCCCTTACCAACGGTAGTAGGTTCACAAAAAATGCTGACAGTCGCATCAATAGTATTTATGGTCACTGGGGGCTCACACATGAAAAATACGCGAATCCGAGTTGCGTTTAACAGGCCAAACTTAGTACTAAATAACTAAATAAACCAATAGAGAGAAGTGTCTAGTCTAAAGTACATATACAGACATCATCGTAGCATTGAGATAGTGAAAAGCAGAAACTTCCATAAGCCGACAGGCACTGTAGAACAATAATGTCTATATTACAGTTACTTTACTGGACTGGATGAGAGGAAAACTATAGCGCATCCAAAATTCTTAAGACGCACAAATTAGTGCCAATGATGACATGCACGAGGAGTGCCCACGTGGAGTGATCACGGAGCGCGAGTGACAAATTCTACGGAACTTACGGAAATTCGCTGTTAGGGCTCAGGTAAGATCCGAATAACCGAACATGGGATTTTAATGAACGGCTAGGTGAGTTAGAGTAGGTTTGCTGGTGCAGGCGGATAATACGACGACCGTTGTGACTTGCTACAGCGCAGATGGTATTACTCGAGGCCCAGTGTCCGCTAGGTGGGGGTGCTCAAGAAATTTTACTGCGTGATCGAACAACCAACGCTTAGAGAAACGGAATACTATATACTTACCGCATCTAAATGGGATTGACCGCACGGAGCAACTGATGCGGGGGGCGATGACCGACCAACAATTACACATGCTCGCTCACCAAGAATCGGAATTTATGGCGAGGTAGACCGGGTTCAAGAACAAACGCATGTGGCCGATCATGACATTCTGCTCTGGCATTGGCAGCGCGGTGGGCGGTGAAGATAGCACAGCCAAAAAGGACCAAATAGAGAACGAAATGACGCATACATGCCTTCATGGTTGAAGCAAAGATGCAGACTTAAGAGAAAAACATTGTCAATTACGACTGTGTGGGTTGTAGTTTGTCGGACACCAGACATTCAAGGAGTACATCAGTTAAGGCGGCGAGTTCTCTCCGAGTCAGAGGCAAGAGAGTTACTCGGACCACGTCTAATGGCTTACTGTGGTTTGAATGACGAATGTGAGAGTGGCAGGCGGCGCGGCGAAGGGTGACTCTCTAGCAGGGTTCAGGATATGCAGGTGACCTGCGAAAGTAGAAAATGTAAAAGCTGCCAAGGACGTTCCACACATGCAGAGACGCGAATTCGAGTACCACGGCAAGTGAGTTAGCTTGTGAATTTGTGGCCGTCATTAAGTGTGCTTGGCCGCAGCAAGGGCGGGTCAAGAACGACTACCGGTGATCCGGCTTCTGTTTTATCTATGGAAGCCCGACGCGGCACAAGCGGT